GGAAAAAGGAGCCACACACTTTATTCTTAAGGCTACAGGTGCCCTACAAAAGCCTAGTCAGGCCAAGAGGGACCTATCAGGCTTGCTGGATCGAGGCTATTGGGATTACTGGAATTACTCTAAGGCCTGTTGGCAGCCTCCCTTAATCAACCTTTAATATTAAGAACAAGACATGGTGTGCGAGAAATCTAGGAAGAGCAACATTCGAGTCTGATCCAGGCAGGAGCTGAAAGGCCCCTGGGGGGCATCATGGCCATTCCTGACTGTTGCCATGAACCCATCAGAGTCTTCAATCAGGCAACTGGTCAGGCAATAGATCAGGCATTTTTCACAATAAGAAAATCAAATGTGATTCTCTCTTTCCAGATTCCATGTTCTTTCCATACTAATCGCTTCCCCTCCCCCAACACATCTTTTTTTTCCCCTGGTCTCTTTGGACACTTAAAATGTTAACATCTTTGAGCTGAAATAAAATCCTGACTTCCTATTACCATTACCTGGTGGGCCCGGAGGGCCTGGTGAGCCAGGAGGCCCTCGTAAACCATCTCTCCCAGGTGGCCCAGGCAAAGAAATTCCAGAGAGACCAGGATCACCCTTTTCACCTCTGTCACCAGGTACGCCAGGTGGACCTTGCAACCCTGCAGTAGGTAAACCTGAGAAAAAAGTAAAACAGCATATCCATCAACTACAAACAAAAAGATATCACCATGGATAGATAAATGATCATGTGTCCAAGCTTAGGGCACAAAAGCTAGTATTAGGCCTTTGAAACACAATTCTATTTCACACTTATACAGATATAAGTCATCTAAGTCACCCCAAAACATTCTACTTCACCTCTCACATGACTCGCATAGATACAGCTAAATGCCTTATGCAGCGACAGTTCTGCCTTGTGCAACTGAGTCTGTCTCTACTGCACTTGTCTGGAAGCAATTCAGTGTTTCTCTGCACACATACCTTAATGCTTTAATGTGATCAACTCTACTACAGACCCAGAAGTTCTGTATAACTGGGGATGGTTAAACATGTAAACTTCTGTCTAGCAGTTAGAGCACTTACCCAGGAAAAGAGAGACTTAAGGTACTAGCAGCAGGTTTGAAGGGTCAGCACCAGGCTCTGGGTCATGGTGTTGGGAAGCAGAGGGGCTGGTGGGAGCATGTGAGTGCCCAAAGAGTGGAGCCATGTGGCTAGGAACCAGGCAGGAGTCTGGCACTCTGCTGCCTGGGCTGACCAGACACAATTTATGCCCAGGTCAGTGTTTAGATGCAGTTATTTTCACCACTGTAAGCCAGTACTGTCTCTGACAATACTATATTTTGGAGGCAAAAATTAGTTTGCTGCAGTCTAGTAGTGCCACACATGTAGACTCTGATGCTTTACACAACAGCAAATTAATCTACTGTGTAGTTAAGCGCACATGCAGGTGCACCTACTGAGTGTCAATGGGATCATCCCGCTTATTCAACACACAATAATAAAGAGACAAGAACCCAGACCAAGCAAGCTTTCCACTGAAAAATTCACAGGAGGGGATTCTGGGGATCCCAACTCTAGGACTTTCTCTCATCTCTGATATCTATGTATTGTGTTGTTCCAATAGAGCTATGTTTTCCAGGCTTCTTCTGCAAGACTGTGCCTCTGGAGCAACTGCCTACCTCCTTTCATTTTAACGGAGATGTCCCAGCACAAAGGCTGCTTCATGTGGAGGTTAACAGTCTCAGGCTTCTTCATAGAAAGCAAAGATTATGTTACAGAAGTATGGATACCCACCTTGTTTTAGGTATGACGGGGACAATTCACACACAGACCTTGAGGGGTCAAGCAGATCCCCACAAGAGAATAACAGATATCCAGCCTGGCAATCTAGTGGCTATAAGTGGCAGATGCTCAGCACGTCTCAAGATTGACCCAAGGATTGAAAAAAACGTAAATAAAATAATGTGAGGGGCAAGGATTTCTTAGGATGACATCTTTTATTGGACCAACTGTGTAGTTGGGTCTAACTCTATCCCAACTACACAGTTGATCCAATAAAAAATATCACCCCAAGAAATCCTTGTCTCTTGCATAATAATTGGACCATCATGGCTACAACCTAATGCTTACACTAAATAAAATAAATAATAAAATGTATGTTCATACCTGGAGCACCTGGGAGTCCTGGAGCACCTGGAAAACCTAATAAAAAGAAATGCTTTCAATTATGGAATAAATGCCTATGAACATATAAAAATAAATATGAATGCCAACAGTAACAGTCTCATAGTATTTGTTATATAAACATTCACAACAAGCTTATAATACTAGATAAAGAAATAAAGGTAAATAAGACTCAAATGACTTAATAGCAATTTATTTGCAAAGTTTAGGTAAAAACCCATAGAAGTCTGAAAAGGATAAATTTGGCATATCCTGCAATCCAATTCTGCAAGATACTGTACTGGAGCTAAGAAGATCAGACATTGTAATGTACCCTACTGAAGACGGTCTAGTCTATCACTGGTACATTCCACAACATTCCCAGTATTGTTTGTCAGCTAATAGTATTAATTTAAAGAAAAGTAGTTCAACTAATGTTACTAAAACTATACTGTGAAAAAGGGAGAACTCATTAAAAGCCTGACGTAGCATTTTTGCATCTCAAAACTCTAGTGAAGTCAGTGAGAACTTTAAGTGCATAAGAAACAAGTGAGATAACTGAAAAGTGTCAAATATTTTGAAATTTCTTTGAAAAATAAGGAAAAATATTCCATTTTCTACCTATACGATCAGTTTTTAAATTATGCATATGCCTTTTAAGAGAGAAATTATAATTGGGATGCACGCTGGAGCAGGTGCAGAGTGCAGCACAGTCCCAGAGTGGCCATGTGTGGGGCCATCTGGCATACCCCACATGCTTCCCATGTGTCAACTCTAAGATCCTGGGGAGTACTGGGAGCAGGGTACAATTAAAACAAAACTATGGAAATGTGAAATATGTTATACTATAAAATGTGACTCCTATAATAGCCAGTTAAAATTAGGGAGGCAGACTATAAGAACCCAATAGCACTTTAGTCAAGATATTATCATATAGATACATTGAGAGACACAATTAAGGAATTATATTTTCCTTTAAAAAGAAAGACAATAGAACGTACATACCTTTTTCACCTCTTTCACCCTTTAATCCTGGAAAACCTGGAGGTCCAGTCTCTCCTTTTTCACCAAAGGCATCCACTGTTCCTGTGCCTATAATCTGAACCACAGAACAAAAATTAGGATAATGGCAAATTCGTAGCATAAAAATTCAAGACTGCTGAAACTTTCCACCATCTCTCATCTGGAGCTGGCAGGGCCAGTTTGGCCCGTGGTACCAACTTAGTGCAATTTCACTGGTTGATGCAAATTGCATTGGCTTGTAACAGCTGAGTAGATGCACTGAAACACAGGGGCCCCTTGAATTCCTAATATTCCTCATTTACCTGGAATGGGCTTGACTGGACAGCTTTAATGCACCTTCGGTTAACAGATGGTACAAAAGAGTCTTAGCCTGGACCACAATCAGAATATTCACTATTTTTTATTTTACTACAGCTTGTGACTTTTGTTAACACAGAATTCTGCTTGAAAAACAGTACCCTAAATTTACAGGAATTATATACATATATACATATGCATATGGGTGTGTGTGTATTTAGGAATTATATCTTTTTGAATCCTGAATTTTATATATAAATCAGGAATTTATATATAGAAAAATGCATCCAGGAATTATACATTATTTGCTGAAAGAGCCTAGCTGTTTACATTATCCCATATAAAAGATAAACACTTGTAAGTCCTAGGGAGATGCATACTCCTGACTAATATCAACCCACTTTTAAATCCAGGGTAAAAAAAACAAAACAGAAGTATACTGTAAAATCATTAGACTCGTTCTAAAGAATTTATTGGTACACTGTTAAAAAAACTGGATTGCTTTAAAATAATAAAGGCAATGGTCTTATTTTAAAGTCATAAACTAAAACATTTAACACTCAAACAATACCAACTGTTCCAAGAACCCCCCGTTTACAAATGTCACATATACTTGGGCACCCACACTTTATTGTCATTTAAAAAGTTGTGTTGCTATTGATTGCATTTGGATCAGAACGTATCAAGAGCTTTTTTACAAACATTGAGATGGCTTTGGATTCCGTGTTGCTTATTTCTTTCAACAGTTACTTTATTCCTACTTATTATAAACCAATTTTTACTTTACTTACTGATCCTGGAGGTCCTGGAAAACCTTGTTCTCCCTTATCCCCCTGAACAAAAAAATAATTCACATTTTAAACTGAACTCCTGTGCAAACACAAACTGATCTATGCATTGCATTCAATTGGGTTTTCTTACATATGGAGAGTTTTATTTACTAGAATCTACTTTGAAAATGCAAACTCTGCACTGCTCGATGCTTTTTTTCTAAATGACTAGATGATACTGTTTTGTACCATGTTATATTTTACAATTACTTTCCTTGAGTGTATACTTTAGTGTATACTTCCTCTTAGTAGAGTTGGCCAGCATTTCTCATGCTCAGGCTCCTTTTCATCTTCTTATAATTTTGCCAAATTTTGTTTAATACTTTGGGATTAAACTTAATATTTTGAAAACTATTACTGATTACCGTAAAAATGTATGTAAATTCTTTGCTATTATTTCTGCCCCACTGTGGTAAAAATGTACTAATTACCTTAGGCCCAGGGTTACCCGGTGGCCCTGGAAATCCATACTCGCCCAATGGTCCCTGCATGCATATAGAAAAAAAAAAACAAACAACAAATGAATACAGCCGGACCTTAATAGTGGCAGCTTCCCCAGCTGCCCCCAGTCTCCCCAGACACCCTAGCGGGACATTGTTACAGACCTCTTCTCCCTTATCTATGGCATGTTATAGGGTTTTCTTGGTCTTCTGAAAATCATGCTTTGTAGTTGTGTGAAGTGAGTTGTCTGAAGTGGTGATTTATGGGATTTCTTAGGTAAACGATTGTCTGGAAATGCAGCGATTTAATAGTCTGGGAGGCCCATCCAGTAATAGGGTCCTATCTAATAATGGCAATTTATGAAAAATCAAGTGAAACACATACCGGTTCTCCTTTTGGTCCATGCTCGCCATCTTTTCCAGGTTTTCCCTGTAAAACACAAAATTCCATTCCATCAAACAGACATAATCACAGGTAACATCTGATAGAACCCTAAATTTAACATTATAACAGAGCTCATAAGTCCTCCTCTCACAGCTAGAAATGTAGTGTATGGAAGTGATGAAACTAAGACCACTGAGTGCATATATTCCTTGGCATAACAGCCTACCTAGTAAAATGTAGAGCTGCACAGCTTCCCACATTGTTAAATTCATACTGATCTCTTGGAAGGACCTTTAGTAGAGGATTAACATTCTTTTTTTGTGAGGGTAAGGGTTGTAGCTTCCCCAAAAAGCACCTTCCCTCACTGTTCCCACCTTCTAGCCACCTCTCAAAGTACAACCAGGAGTCCCCAAGCTCTAAACCCAAATACCAATTTATTAGAACTTAAGACCTTATTTAATTTAGTTATCCTTCAGTGGCTGGCTGACTTCATTTCACCACACTCCCCCACCCCCATTTCCTTTCCACTGCCCATTTCATTACCCACCCCCATCCCATTAACTTTCCACCTCCCAGTTTCATGTTCCCATAACTCACCTCTAACCCATCTCTCACACACCCCCCACCTAGAGCAGGGGGCAGGGCTCCCCTCCACTCCCAGTGGAGTCCAGAGACCTGAACAGCATAGGGTGAGGAAGGCAACTGGCTCCATTGCGCAGGGCTTCCCCCAGTGGTGTGCATGTGATGGGAGCTGAACGTGCACCATGCACAGCCCCACATGATAGAGGTGAGCCAGCCTGGCTGTGCTCCTTGCCATCACATGCAGCGCTGGCTGGAGTCATGCGCCATGGGGCGGCAGCGCCTGCATGAGCCATGAGTGCTCTGAGTACCCACTGCCTTCTGCTGCTGCTGCTGCCAGTGGCAGGGGCTGTGATCCATCGTGGGGAGCATGTGCAGGGGTCCCAATACCCCCCTACCCTTCCTCCCACCCACATCCTGCCTATCAGAGCTCTGCTGTCCTACTGCCCCCCTGGGCGCAGTCTCCATGTTGCCACCACCCCAGCCCCATGCTCCCTGCCCCCTGCCCAGCTGCAGCTCCCCATCTACCCACTCCTGCTGCTTCCCTATCTGGTGCCTGGAGCAAGCGGGATGCTGAGAAAGCTACTCAGGTCCCCCAGCAGTTGCAGCAGTAGCAGCAGCCACCCCACCCAGAAGCTGTGTGCTGGCTGGGCCAGGCCCACCCATGCACCAGGGTGAGAGAGAGCTGTGTGGGCTGGGTGGGGTACAATTAATTGGTGGGTGCCTGGGGGCCAGATGAAATTGCATGGTGGGCTGGATCTGGCCCACAGGCCGTATTTTACCTAGCCCTGGATTATAGTGATTTTATTTCTCGTGACCCCATCCACTGTTTCTGTGACCCTATTTGGGGCTGCGACCCACAGTTTGGGAACCACTTGTCTAGTGGCAAAGAAGAAAGCTTGCAGAACATTTTCAAAATTAGGGTGCATGTAAAACAACAATGCATGCAACCCAGTAAAAATTAAAAGATTAATTCCATAAAAATAATACAAAAACTACATCCAAAACAGAATATTACAAAATGGCAGATTGACAGAAAAAGAAATAGCACACAAAATAATTTAAGCAGAATACAACCAATTGAATATGCAACTCTGAATCACATTAATGAAGGAGAATAAGCTGTCCAATTAAACAATCAGTGGCATCCTATAACAGGTCGCTATTATTCATTGTTTTAAGTATAATATTAATAAAACAAAAATGAACAACTTTAAACCCAAAACAAATCAGTAAAAAGTAATTAAGGCTGCTGACAGATGTGAAAAAAACAAAACAGAGGTTTACCAGAAGAAGCAGCACATCAGTTTGACCCAGCTCCCCAGCATCTCAATAGATTGGCAGTTCAAGCAGGGCTTTTTGGCACTTTATCTAATAGCTGATTGAATCAGGTATTAGATAAAAGTGCCAAAAAAGCCCCACTGAAGCACACAATCTATACAGATGTTTGGTTAAACTAACACGGTGCCTCCCCTGGGCATGTGCTGTACTCAGTGCAGAGGAAGGACCGAGATGAAAGTGAAGCAATGCTTATTTTTCCCCACGTGTGTAAGCAGCATTTATAACTAGTCCCTCTGATTCATCATTTCATAAAACTAGAAGATTCATATTTTTAAAGATGTATTTGATAACATTTCTCTCAAGAATTTTCATAACTATAGGTGCAAAGGAAATCATGATCATTTATCATCCCAGAAATTTTGTCCAAGATACTATGGCGAAATTTGAGGAACCTCTTTTAACAATCCTTACTTGGATACTCTGATTTCTTTGGCAACTTCTAGATCTATGTTTCTTAGCCTTTCCAGTATGATAACTCCTTATTGACAGTAAAATAATATTTCTACAAATTTTGAGAGTTTGACCAATTACTTGAAGGAGTAAAAATGTGGGGAGAATGAGAAAGTCAGGTTCTATTTTCTTTATAAAATTGTCAATAAAGCCTACCATATTGGTAAATTATAAAAGACAGAAGTTAAGGACTAGGTAAAAATATGACTAAGGTGAGGTTATATGGCCTGTGGTACTGATGTTCAGGGATCCTGGCTATCTCTGATAGAAAAAAAATCCCCAATTTTTGGATTAAAAAAATAACCCAAAATTCCATTATTAAAATTAAACACCACTATATATATATATATATATTCTAATAGTATAAAAGCCTTAGTCTGTCTGTCTGTCCATCATGCTTTATTCACACTCCAATTGGTTGTCTCAGTAGCCAATCACAATGCTTACTGAAACAACCAATCAGAGTATTCTGCACAGACAGAAGTGCCACCATAACAGTGGAGACTGAGGGGCATGATTGGGGGGGGATGAGGCCAGCACTGCTGGTCCCTGACCCCTGACTGTGGCCCTGGTCCTTGGAGGCACAGGGGGACGGTGGAGGTGGCACCGCCATGATAGCGGGGACTGAGTAGGGGACGCCATCCCTGCCATCCCCCTTTGCCTCCAAGGATCAGGACCATGGCTGAGGGGCCGGCCCAGCACCGATGGCCTCACCCCCCTTCCGCTCCAGCCCCTCAGTCCTTGCTGTCATGGCAGTGCTGCCCCCACTCTCCCCCAACAGGGCCAGAGCAGGAGGGTGAGGCCAGCAGCACTGGCCTTGCCCCCTTCCCTGACCCTGCTCCTTGGAGGCAGAAGGGGATGGGGGGTGGAAATGGGCCCAGACCTCATATGGCGCAGAGGGAAGGGTGAACAGGGGAGAACAGAGCTAGATGAGAAGTGGGTGCAGGCCCAAATGTGGGACTCAGTCCCCGCTCACCCCCCTCCCCTGATGATGGTGGGGACTGAGGAGCTGGAATAGGTGTGAGTGGCCAGCACCACTGGCCTCATGCACCTGCTCTGACGCACAAGGCGGGATGCAGGGGGTGCAATTAATTAGTGGTGGAGCTAGGTGAGGAAAAGCATCAGCCCCTCTGGGGTGGGTGGGGCATGGGCCAGAGGCAGAGCAGCAGCAGCACGGGGCATTAGATGGTGCTGCTCCATCACTCCCTCCCCCACAACCCGGTCATTCTTGTTGGGCAATTGGCTAGTATCTATATATTAGTAGCATTTCATTTTAATTGTGGAAAAATATGGATTTTGAGTTACTTTTTTAAATCTGAAAATAGGGGATTTTTTTTATCAGAGAAAACCGGGATCCCTGCTGATGTCAGACTAGATATTCAGAATTTTCCATTCTGGCATTAAAATTGAAGAATCTAGGAAAAATGCAAAATAAATAAGGTAACATGTCAGTTAAGTAAAGTTTTCTGTCTATTTCCTCCCTCTTAGAAGAAAAGTTATACATAAGCTCACCAAACTTAATGTGGATACAGATGACATCCATTTGCATCAACACCTGGTTAGCACAACTTCTGTTTTCCAGTATTTCCCCTGAGAATATTTCTACCGTGTATTCAAGCAACAGACTTCTTATAGCAAGAGCCACTTAGGAATAACATAGCAGTAGGGTTATCGTATGTTGGCAGGGTTACTACATGGAGCCACTAACAGGCATTGACTGAACTGTATTTCAAACAATATGAAACAAGCTTTTTATTAATTTAAATTGGTTTAGATTCTGCTTTGCTCTGTGTGATTCAAGTTCCATTGAATCAATGGGAGTTCTTCCATTGATTTCTGCGGAACTCAGATCAGACTCAAAATATACCCTAGCAGTTAGACTAGCAGTTAGCAATGTTCTAGACTCAGTTTAGGTCCAAGTCAGCCCAGTGTTAGGACCCAGCCACTACTGCTGCTTTACTCCACTGACCAGCTGTGGTGAAGCTCCCTGCTACCCAGCTGTGATGCAGACAAGAGCCCCCCCTGCACCCTCCCATCACCAGAACACTGCCAAAGCCCCACAGCTCTTCAGGCTACATCTAACCCATGGACCATAGATTGCTGATCCTGGCTGTACATTACTTATGAAGATTTTAGAAATTACTGTAAATTTTAAGCATCATGAACTACATGTTAAACTTAGGTTAGCCAGTAGCAAAACCTTCATGTTTCCTGTCTATTCAATTTTATATCTCACTGACAGCTACTCAGTTAAAAAATATATATAATGGCACACAGGTGTTATCCAAAGTAAATGTATACTTACCCGTGGGCCAGGTTTTCCAGGTTCACCTTTTTCCCCTTTCAAACTTGGCCCTGGTTGTCCCTTAAAAGAAAACAGAGCAATTATTGTTCTCAATATAAATTTTATTTTAGTTATTAGCTATTAATATACTCATTTAAGGTAGGTGCATCACTTGATTTTGATCACTTTTAAATATTATCAAATGATTACATAATACTTACTGGCAATCCATGCTCTCCTTTTTCACCTGGTTCTCCCTAGTGAAATTAGAAAATAATGTTGATTAATATATGGGAATACTATCTATAAGAATCAATTTATACCATAGATCATTGATTTTCTCATGTCAAAAATATCATTAAGCTCTATTACATATATAGGGAAA